TAATGTTTTTTATTTTAATTTTCAATTTTATGAATTATAGTTAATTTTTTATTTTGTTTATTAGTTTAACATATGAGTTGTATTGGAAACAAATAGTTAAATTTATAATGGAAACTTTTAAAGAAATATTATTTTTATTTTTACCTTTTTATATGTTTATAAAAAATGAGAATTCATGTTTTGGTCCGACCTATCTCATTTATGTTAGAAAATTTTTTGAGACATAAATTAGATAGATTTATATTCTAAAAACTTCTAACTTTTTGCTCTATTCCTGTTAAATCCCATTATATTTAGGTTTACATTGTGTAAATATAATCTTATATATATTTTAAACATTCACTAAAAATTATAATCTATTATTTTTATATTTGTTAGTATAATCGATAATTAGTAAGTTTTTTTTAACTTTTAATCAATTAACTTTTTTAGTTTTATAATGTATAATATAAAAAAAGACCTTTTATATTCAATTTTAAAAAACTTATTTACATAGGTTTAAATATTAAAATTAAATGATAAAATGGTATAATTAATTTTAAAAATTAAATAATTAAATGAGGTGGATGATGATGTGGTTTAAGGAGAAGAGAGAAAAAGTTAACTTTTTATATATATAGATATATATATGAAGGATTGACATTTGACTTTTGTATTTAAAGTTTGTTTCTGAATTGTCGACTTGGTCACTAAAAATTGCTACGGGTTAAAGAATTTTTGTAGGTACGGGCTTTACTAGGCCCATTATGCGGCCTAACTCGGGCCATGAACCTAAGATTATACATTTTGTTTACAATTTTAATTGTTTTTTTTAAAGTTTCTTAATTAACCTGTCACTTATTATTTGACAGTCGAACGTTAGATAGCAGATGAAAAAGTATGAACGTTTGAAACAATTGTTACCGTTGTGAATATACTGTAATTATTTTATTTTCTTATAAAGTGTGGATAATGACCTCTATAAATATGACTTATAACTTCTCTCATCTTCTCGTTCAAAGTTCAAAATTCCATTTCTTGAAAATGACTAAAACTCTGTTTTCTTTTCTTTCTTCCATTTCCTAATCTGTTCTTCCACTATCGTTTTCAAGTCAAAACTTCTCTAGAGTTCTCTCTCACATCCCCACATAGATAGAGGCATCATCATCATCATCATCATCCTTTGTAGGTAAGATTCTGGTCCGATCATTTTATTTTCTTTGTTAAACTATATATAATTAGTGTTCATCTTAGTTAATAATATAGTTGTAGCTAGAAACATTTCAAATGACCATGTTTAAATTCCAGCTCTATTATTATGTATGAGTGCTGAGTGAAATGTTCATAAGAATGAGGGGCTTGAAATGTTGTCGTTTTCATAAACTATTGCATGCATGTGTTGGAAACTAGTAGAAATTAAAAGTACTTATAATTGGTTTCGATATAATGTCCTTCTCTGTTTCTGCCTAAAACAAAAAAAAAACATACAATATGTTATGATAGTAGAACGGTTGGTTAGTTTTTTTTAATTTTAAAAGAATATAACAAAATTGTAGGTGATGTCTAAACTGAAATGTTTACAGTTTTTTTGGTTTATTTGTAACGGAAATTAATATTTGAACCAATTTTGCAGATGGCACTGAAAGGAGGGAAGCTTGATTCGTGTGTGTATATATTCTCGTCTATGGTTTTCATCATCCGTCTTAATTGGTGCAGGAGATTGCATCTCTATGTATATTAGATGTATGTATGTAAGGATGAAAATGAAATGTTGTATGTATATGTAGATTTGTATGTCTAGGGCTATTGTGTGTTAGATGTATGAATAGGGGGACAACATAGCGACAAATGCTGGAAATAATGAACACGCCATATGCAAAACAAGTAACAAATGACGAACAAATTCTAAATCAAAACACAGATACGTAAACACCCTAAAACAAAATCAAAGCTACTAAAAGAAAAAAAATTAAGTTATATGTAATTATAATTTTAGCAAAATCGTCGTTAGTGATAAATTGATGAGAGTAAAGAACACATAAGTGTTTAAAAGAAGAACTATATTAGACTTTCATGAAAATAATGTTATAATTTACAATCTCTTATATAGAGTTTTAGGATAAACATATTGTGATAATGTTAAACTTCCTAAATTCAATATTAACATTTACTAATAATCAATCCTCTAGGATAATATCTTCTCCATTTCCATATTTTAGAGCTGACATTTTGACCGCCGATCTCGGTCAATCTCCGGTCTCTATCTCCCAATAGTTAGTCGAAACACAGCTTAAAAAAAAAAAAAAAAGTAAAACAACCAATACACGTTAGTCAAATTACTATCCAAATGCTGAAAATGTAAAAGCAATTAAAAAGACAACATGAAATCCATGTTAGTCAAGCACCACCTAAAAACTATAAAGGAAGAACTAAAGAAAATAACCAGCTCCACGTTAGTCGAAACACGAAAGACATATTATAAGCAATAGGACAAAAATATTACGCAAAAAAATAATGTACCCAGTCTGTTATAAAGATCATATCTTATTTCAATCATATAAATACATTACAATTAATCCGTCGTATGGAATATACAGTTTTTATATTTTAATTAAATTGTAGTATTTAAGAATCTCAGCCATAAAGACTATTATTAGTTTGTTTTATGAAAACTATATTTGTAGGTATTCTGAAGTAATTTAATACCCTTAATAAATTTTATCATAAGTATAATTTCATTTTAATAAAGAGGGGATGAACTGAAATCGAAAAGATGGACCACTCTCGCAAGCTTTGCTTCCCTATGGAGCTGCTAAAATTATCACATATTAGGTGTAGAAATTCTATTTGTTCAACTTCTTCTTTTTTGGGTGTAATCATTTATGATAATTTGCATATTTATGATAGTTCGAATATTAGAAAAATTAGAGATATGAATTATTCTCTTACCTTGATGAATGTTGGATATTATTGTACTTGAACTGGAACATCAGATTACCTATTTGATACTTAAAAGTAAGGAATGGCTTAAAGGAAAAAGAGAACCTAGTCCTTTGCATACTAAATGACCTCATAGTTACAAAGATTCTTATCTCATATTTCTAATATTCTTTGATGTCATGGAAACATAGATTGAAACTGATCTTGCAAATTTTATAATTTTTAAAAAACAAAAAATGATAATAATGCTGAATTAAACACATATAATTGATGATAATATTGGATTTAATAAATTTATTTATGTTAGTTTGCTTATTATTATCATATATATAAACTATCTTTACTATTCAACTACCAAAGAATTGTACCCAATGAAAACAAGATTTAAATGCAATCATAGTACTCTATGCTTACTGATGCAATTGTTACCAACGATAACTAACCCTATACCAAATGGAGAAAAAAAAAGCCTAGTTTCCAATTTACAACAAATGTAAGATATTATATATGAACTCGAGTGAGGTGAACAATATGTATGTATGTAATATCTTATATTTGTATTATAAAGTTATTAACTAATGGAAACGACTAACTAAGCAAACTATTTTACTTACAATGTTTGTGTTACATAAACACCTTTTAAAAAATTAAATAGCTTATAAAATGATATAATATATTTATTTAATTTATAAATAGATCACGTTACGTTACAATATTTTATAATTGTTGAAAGAAAAGAAATTACAAAAGACAAGATGAAAGTTACAAAATATATATATAAAATGACTGAAGTACTAATATTGACAATACACTTGTGCCAAGCACGTACCTATCACTATGGTTTTCAATTAATACCTCTAAACGAAATCTTTATAATCAAAGCCACATGAAAAACATATGAATATACTTGTATCCGATATTTTGTTGAGAACAAAATCACCCATACAACGGATCTTGCAGAAATAGCAAAGTCGTCGAGAGAGATGATTGTTCGGAAGCAAATCAAATGACCCCTTGTTACCGATCAATAAGCTATATCCAGGTCTTGAGTGCATTAGATTTTGAAATACGCAGTTAGTATGCAGAGTAGAACCACATTCATTACATTTGTAAAACCAAATCTTATTATATACATCCTCTTCACATATCCCGCAACAATATGTCGCATCCATAGTTTTATCACCATAGCATAAGGAGAGAGGATGATCATCGTATTTGTTTATTACCAATGTGGGTAAAGTAGCACATCTGAAGCATAAATTGTAGCCACGACAATCATTTTTATCCTTACAAAGTAGAACAAACCAACAAAAAGAGTCACATCCGTTACACCTCGCGAGAAACTGATATTCAAAGCTCACATATAACCAATGTGGATGGCTTTCATGTTTAAATGCGTCAGAAATTGTAGCACATCGCACATCAAGACTATACTGAGGGTAATCATCATCCGCTTTAATATTATAAGAGAAACCGGTGCAGTAGCGGAGACATGCAATACAAAGAAACAAGTTTTCGAATTTTGCCCCATGTCGACTTTTAGCGCTCAATGTAAGTTTTCGTATGCTTATCTCGTGTCTTTTCTTCAGAGGAAGATTCGCGCAAGCATCGTGAAGAAGAAAATCACATTGAGTGCATTTATAGGATAATTCAGAATATAAAGGAAGAGAGCATGCACAACAATATTCTCTTGGTTCCATGAGTCTTGATGATGATATTGAAGCCTTGAGAATGTGGTCATGGCTAAAATGTTTTATCAGGTTTTGATCTATCACTTTGAATGGTTCGCTTTCTTCTTCTTCATCTTCTTCTGGTACACCTTCGAGTTCTCTCCCATCCCAAATTATGCCATTTGTTGCACATTTTGAATGAACAACATAAGAACAAACCGAGCAAGAATATGCACCATACTCTCCATTCACATGCTCATAACATACCCTACAAATCCACTTCCCAGGTGCCAAAGAAGAAACGTGAGAGATACGATGGTCGTGACGGTTGATGTATATAACACGTGGTAAGTAGATGCATGTTCGATGGATTATGAAACTGCATTGAAGACAAAGACACGGGTACTTTGTACTATGCAGCCCACATGCACAACACACTACAAGAAAATAATTATATTAGGACGATATGTTTCGTCACAATAAGAAAATTTTGGTCACAATAAAAATATTGGTACGATTATGTGACAACTGATAAATAGTTACAATATAATCGTCACAAATTTTTATAGGTAACTAAACCGTCACACGAGTTGTGACTAACTATTTCAGTTACTATTTTGTCATAATTTGTAACGCTCGATTAAACGTATCAAAAACGTAATAATTGTTTACTTAAATTATTGTCCCAAACACGTTATAGTTGATGACCTATACAGCGTATCCAGTTCGTCACAATTTATTACGTTACTATAGTCTCTAAACGTCACACTTAGTGACTTGTAAAATGTAACTTACCGGTCACAATTACTAACTAAAACCATGTCTACAAACCGTTGTTCATTATGACAAAAGTTTAGTCTCACATCGTCACTATTGAATACTAAATAATTGTAGCTACTTGGTCAAAAATACCAACTAAAAATATCGTTGCCTATACGTTAGAAATTTCTACTTATCATATTGTCTCAAAATGGTTTCATTTTGTTACAGTTTTTAAGTAAAAATATTTTACTCTTTACTGCCAACTATTAATATCAGAATCGTTACAATTAGTGACCAAAAAATTGTCCTCTATCTTAATTTATATTATTGTTTCACTAAATTATTATCACAATGATACATGAAATAAATATTT